GTATATACATTTTTACTTGATTGTGGAGCAATGAAATCGAATCTAGTGGACGTACTCTGAAATCTTAATTTCTTCAGTTTGACAGAATCTGAAAGATTTAAAGCTGCAGTTAGTGGGATGTGGCCTGCAGGGGGCAGCAGGACGACACATGCTACAAACACAGCACACGTGCACGCTCGGTTCCTGTAGTAATCTTTTATTATTCAAATGTTACGTTTGGATTTACAGGCACATGGGGACAAACAGGGTCACTCAGGTCGTCACAGCGCAGCAAACATGGCGTCACATGACAGGAAACAGACGTGACATAGAGGCGGCCCGCAGTCTGTGCAGCACACGCATCGCCATCTACAGGTTACAACACAAATAACTTGTACATTATAACTTAAAATACTGTTTATACATCGTGTCTGTTTGTGCTGCACATCCGACGGACGCCGTCTGGATGGAGGGAGAAATGAAAAAACTGCAGGTCAGCTGATGACTGTTGACGCTGAGCGAACGTTTTCACTGAAGAGACGATCGACCATTTAATGTGTTCACCTGCAGAAGCTGCTGCAGAGAGGTTTCAACTAAAAGCTGTTTTTTTCAATGGATTCGACCTGATTGAGAAAAAAACCTGCTTCAGTACCGACACGAGGAGACGGCGTGACGATGAGGACATTTCCTGTGAAATAAAAAGTGGCGTTCTGCTCTGGAACCGTGATTATAACCTAACTTTATATTAAGGCACAAAATACTAATGAAAACAGGTAACTACTGTAGCGGCATGTGACCGAGCTTATCGCATGACTCGTGAGGCAGGCCACGCCCACTTTACAAAAACACGTCCTGATTGGTAAAAAGGTCAAAGTTAAAAACAAAAGTTCAGTTAGGTTGAACGAAGGCGTGAAAACAAAATCAATAACAGACAAATGACACGTTAGCGTCGCTTGTATACACGATAATAATAACATACCACAGACATCGCTATCATAGAGTCGATATATTTCACCGGGAGGTTTCAGTGATCGATTGTGGCTGTTTCCATGTTGGACTTTTATTTCTTAACAATCAGCCTGAATCATTGAAGCATCATTTATTTACACAAATAATAAAGTCTCACTCTACGTCTTAATAAAAAACATTCACACAAAAATATAACATTTGAAATAATTATTAGCACCAGTGTATCAGATAAAATTCTCGCTACGCAAAATGTACAAAGTTGCATAGTGTTGTATTTAAGCCTGGAGGTTGTTAATGAGTGAAAAGCAGCGACAGACGGTGAAAATAAAACATCAGGACGTGAAATGTGTTTGACCGCGGTGAGAGACGCAGAAACCCTGAAAGACGCTTCGTCATCGAGTGCACGTGTTCACAATTAACGTCTCGCTCCCATGATGCATCTGGATAAAAAAACATCGTCTCACACAATGACAGAAGCTGTCGTGTTTCCACTAGAGGGCGTCTTGTGCGGACAATAATCTTTTATTTTGTACCTCGTTTCCTCACATGTTGAGGGAACAAAACACTCCTACTTCGAAACATCACTCGTTGGGACTTCAGGCGTCACGTGCTCCAGCAGGGCGGGAACGACAACAACAACACAACAACGACAAAAACACAACAACGACAATAACACAACAACGCCGAGCCGCTGCCGGTGGAGACACAGTGAGTGTGTCTGAGGATTCCTTCACTGTGGTGAGAACGTTCAGCTGAACTCTGTGAAACTCAAACTGACGAAGCTGTTGTGATGAAAAACATAAAAACAAAACATGGAGCGAACGCCCGGAACACGCGTCATCGTTCCTGCGTTGGTGGAACTTCCTCTCGTGGTGCAGTCACGTCGGGATGGTGGTTCTGGTTTTTCTCCGAGGTTCCTTCACCTCTGCTCAGCTGAGTTCATTCTTCACGTTCCTGCGTCTCGAGGAATAAAAACTAAAAAAACTAAAGACAAAACAGAATCAGCTGCTTCTCTCGATAAAAACGTGAACGTGGTTTGAAAGATTCGTTTCGCTCTTGTAAAAGAAAATCACAGACAAGAATCTGAAAACAAGACGTTTAAAAACTGTTTTGGTAAAAGTCGGCGTGATCGCCGGCGTGTTAGCTGTGAAGGGGCGGGAGTCTGGGGGGCGGTGGGGCGGGTTACGGCCTCTCCAGAGACGGCGTGTTGAAGCAGCCGTCAGGTAACGTGTTCTTGATGTCGTTGAGGTTGGTGATGTCGGCGCGGATCTCGCGGATCTGCCGCTCGTAATCAGTGATCATCGCCTCCTGGGTCTGCGCCACTTGGTTAAGTTCTGTCAGCTTCCTGTCCAGGTCGCTGTCGGCCATCTTGCCCTTGGCCCTCTCCAGCAACTCATCAATCTGGTTAAGTTTGCTCAGGTCGACCTTGTCGATGTTTCCTGCGAGAGAACGAACCAATCAGAAGCAGTTTTTAAAATTAGAATCAGTTTGAGATGGGGGTTGACTTTCGTCGTCATGGCGACGGAAGATGATTCAGCTGGAAGATTTATTTTTATATGAAGTTAAAATCTGTTAATAAAAAGTTTCTCAGCTTCAGTGAAAAGTTTTGTTGTTTGACTCGATGAACAGATCAGATTAAATCAGATGGTCACTGAGGATCTGACTTCAGCGTCAGAAAGCAAAACTCCTGACTTCCTGTTTCACTGCGGAAATGACGTCGAGCTCGTACAGACTCGAGTGGCCATGTTGTGTGTACGGAGCTAAACACGACGTGTGAGGACATTGCTCGGTTCTCACCCAGCTGACCCAGCAGGGCGTTGATGTTGCTAAGGACCGTCTTCACGGCGCCCTTCGCCTTTCGGGCGTTGTCCTCTGCCTCCTTGGCGTTGTTGGACGCCTACCGGACAGAAAACAGATTTTATACATGTGCATGTGAAGCGGCGTGTGAAGCGGCGTGTGAAGCGGCGTGTGAAGCGGCGTGTGAAGCGGCGTGTGAAGCGCCTCGTACCATTCCTGCCATCATCATGTCCTGATCTGCCTCGGCCTTCTTCCTGGCGAGCTCCTGTTCGGCGGCGCTCAGTTTATCCATCATGTCGTCGACGTCGGCGTCCAGCTTGGTTGTGTCCTGGAACGCCTTCTCTGCGTCCTCCTTGGTCTTGGCGGAGCCCTGAGCGCAGACATGTCAACGTTAGAGTTTGAAACGAAGTGAGGAACCGACAGTCGGGGTTTCCCTCGACTCGTTTACCTTCTGCACGTTGCTGGCGATCCTCTCAGCCTCCTCCGCCTTGTTCTTGGCCTCTCGTGCGTCGGCGGCAGCGTTGCCGAGCGCCGACTCCGCCTGCCTGGTCTTCTCGTTAGCGGCCATGATGGTGGCATTGATGGCGGGGATCTTCTTCATGGCGTCCTCAGCAGCGGTCTTGTTGTCGTTGACCCTCTTGTCGAAGTCTGCAGGAGGAGGAGAAGAAGAAGGAGAAGAAGAAGGAATTAAAACCTTCATCTAAGAGTTCAGAGTCCCGACGACGAAGACGTTTCACAGTTTGACTCATTATTGAAGACAAACAAATAAACCTCAAACCATTTTCATTAAGTGTTTTTAAAGGACGTTAATCAGAGACACAGACAGACAGACAGAGAGACAGACAGAGAGACAGAGAGACAGAGAGAGAGACAGAGAGACAGAGAGA